GAGGCGCTGATTCGAGCGTTAGAAGTGGACGCCGCATACAACAGCTCACCTCGTTCCAACGTTAAGATACGAGCTATCGGGGTTGAGGACGAAGTAAACCCTATTCAAGAGAGTCTCGATAAAATGAACGAGAACTTTGAGAAATTCGCCCGCGAAATAATTGCCGAAATCAAGACGGGCAGTTCTAGATAACATGGAGGGCGCCTAGAATGTTACAGGTGTGGGCGTCAAGGGCATAGTAGGAGGGATTGCCGTGTTAGATCGCCAGCGCCGATGAGGAGTTCGCAGCCGCGACCTCCTCTACATCAGGGGTAGGAAAACTAAAGGCAGTCGGTACCTCGGGGTACTGGCTGCCAAAAGAGAAGCCCCAACGACTATAATGGTTAGAGGTATCGCGGGGAGCGTCGATACTCCGACAATTAGCGGAAAAATCAATGGACAGGAATCGAAGATCATCATCGACACAGGAGCCGAAGTGTCCCTTGCACGCAGATCCAGGTTACAAAATTGCCAGATTAAGTCAGTATGTACCACCACGAATGTGAAGACGGTCACGGGAGAAACAACACCGGTTCTGGGTACAGCGGTGGTGAGTGTAGAACTCGGTCGACTCCGAATAACGCATGAAGTTCTGGTGGCGGAAATCGCAGACGATTTCATTCTGGGTATGGACCTAATCAGCCGGTATGGTTTAATGATCGATCCAGAACAGAAAATTCTGCGTTTCGGAGCCGAAGAATTTGTGCTGGGACGTCCGAATGTGGAAGCTGCAACGGTCAGACTAGTGGTCTGTCAGACAACGAAGGTAGATGGTAATGCAGAAGTCATCGTCTCCGCCAGAGTAGAGACGAACCCACGGATACAGTTTGGGGATGGTGCAGCCGGCACATGACTCGACCCACAAGCTCCTGATCGCGAGCACCCTAGTCAAAACCGATCGTGACATACCCTTACGTGTGACAAACGTGTTTCCCAATGCAGTCAATATTAGAAAAGGGGAGATTATTGGAATGTGTGAGCCAGTCGCCCGGGTGTTGAACTGCGAGGAAGAAGACATTGAGAATGAGTCTAAGGAAGCGGATACCAAAGACTTGGAGATCAAGTGGGACCAGCTGTCTGTTCGTGAGAGAAAACTGGCCAAAGGACTCATTCGTAGGCACCGTAATGTCTTTGCCTTAAAGGAGGAACCATTCGGGAAGACCAACATCGTATAGAACACCGAATAAACACTGATGACACGCAACCGATCCGTCAGGCTCCTCGGACAACATGTTGAGAGATGGGGTAATTGAAGAATCCAACAGCGTATGGTTATCTCCAGTAGTCTTGGTCACCAAGAAGGACGGGAGTACCCGATTTTGCGTGGATTACAGGAAACTGAACGACGTCACCAAGAAAGACAGTTACCCCCTTCCTCGAATAGACGATACCTTGACGACCTTATCCGGCTCGGCGTGGTTTTCGACTTTGGACTTGAAGAGTGGCTACTGGCAAGTAGGCTTGCACCCGGACGACAAAGAAAAGACTGATTATATAATGCGCCAGCAACATTCGAGCGGCTGATGGAGATGGTGCTGAAAGGATTTACATGGAAGACCTGTCTGGTATACCTCGACGACGTCATGATTATGGGCAAAACGTTTGACGACCATCTGAAGAATCTCGAGGAGGTGCTAGAACGAATGGAAAACGCTCGTTTGAAACTAAATCCCAAAAAATGCTGGCTCTTCCAGAAAAGAGTCGAATTCCTGGGCCATATCGTATCGGAGAAAGGAATAGAAACCAACCCGACGAAAGTTCTTGCTATCCGGGATTGGCCCATACCAAAAGACAAGCATGAACTACGAAGCTTCTTGGGACTCTGCACATATTACCGACGATTTGTAGAAGGGTATGCCGACATCACAGCACCGTTACACTAACTGACGAAGCAGACGGCGACTTTCAAGTGGAGCAGTACATGTGGGATGGCTTTTAAGAGACTGAAGACGGCTTTGTGCACCAGCCCCATTTTGGCTTACCCCAGGGACAAAGGAATGTTCGTCCTCGATACCGATGCGAGTAACTCGGGAGTTGGGGCCGTATTGTCGCAGATACAAGATGGGGAGGAAAGGGTTATAGAATATTTTAGCAAATTACATTCCAAACCAGAGAGAAATTACTGTGCCACAAGAAAGGAACTGCTAGCTATTGTCAAAGCCGTCAACCACTTCCACAAGTATCTATACGGACAGGAGTGTCTGATTAGAACCGACCACGCTGCCCTCTCGTGGCTACTGCGGATAAAGAATCCCGAGGGCCAAGTAGCGCGTTGGCTGGAAAGACCACAGCAGTACCACTTTAGGATCAAACACCGAGCGGGTCGACTTCACAACAACGCTGACGCTTTGTCAAGACGTCCGTGCGGAGAATGCAAGCACTGCGACAGGATCGACGCGGAAGAAGGGAACCTGACCGTTCGTCGGACGATTTTTGAGCAAGATGAAGAATGGACAACGGCGCGGTTAAAGCGTGAACAAGAAGCAGACGACATAATCGGGCCAATACTAAAGTGGAAGGAGGAAGGAGTCGAACAAACCGGCTGGGCAGAATTGTCCCACCAATCCCCCAGTTTGAAGGCGTTATGGGCCCAATGGCATTCCTTGGTCATGGAAAATGGGCTCTTGAATCGAAAGCGGGAGAGTCCTGATGGGCGTACCTCTAAAAAGATGATGGTACTCCTCAAGGTAAAGGTTTCCAAGATCTTAGAGGAAGTTCATGCCGAAACATCTGGAGCCCACTTCGGAGTGAACAAGACCTTGTCGAAAATCCGGGAGAGGTTTTATTACCGTGACGACGTCGAAAGTTGGTGTCGCAAGTGTACGACGTGTGCGGCCAGCCAGGGTCCTCATACCAGGGCGAGGGGAAAAATGAAGAAATATAATGTCGGGGCACCTTTCGAAAGAATCGCCATCGATGTGGCCGGTCCGTTCCCTGTAACAAACGACGGCAACAAGTTTATCCTTGTGGCCAGCGACTACTTCAGCAAGTGGCCAGATGCCTATGCCATTCCAAATCAGGAAGCCGTCACGGTCGCGAAAGTACTGGTTGACAATTGGATCAGTAGATTTGGCGTTCCCTTGGAACTTCACTCAGACCAGGGACGCAATTTCGAATCCAACGTCTTCCAAAGAGTGATGCAGCTACTGGGAATACGCAAGACAAGGACAACGCCACTACACAATCCGACGGCATGGTGGAAAGGTTCAATCGGACTACCTTTCGAAAGTGGTAGAAGTGCACCAAAAGGATTGGAACCAGCACCTTCCACTATTCCTGCTGGCCTACCGCGCAGCTGTCCACGACACCACGGGTCAAACACCTGCTCACGTTGCATTTGGGAAGGAATTGCGGCTTCCCTGTGACCTAGTCTTTGGATTGCCATCCGAAGAACCAATGGAAGTACGTGACTACGTGGACGAACTGAAAGAGAAGTTGGTCAACGTGCATGAACTAGTGAGGGGCCGGATCAAGACTGCCAGTGACCGAATGAAGACCCGTTACGATGTGAAGGCCAACTGTGGCGGATTCCAGGAAGGTGACTTAGTGTGGCTGTATAACCCCCGACGGAAGAAGGGACGTTGCCCAAAACTGGCTCTTGACTGCGAAGATCCATACACTCTCGTCGCTAGAATAAATGACGTAGTTTATCGGATCCAACGTGGACCGAAGACGAAGATGAAGATCGTTCATCTCGATCGACTAAAACGGTACGACGGAAACAACGAAGACGATTCCGATCGGGACGATCCGATTTGAAGAGGGGGACAGTGTTACGAAATACACCCTTACGCCGCCCCAGTACGACGCCTATGGCCGTCGAGAGCTTTCTGGACGCACGGCGCTGATGGGTGAATCATCAGTGCTGACGGTGTCGACGGCCGAGCGGCGGGCGCATAAAGACAGGTCTGGAGCCGTCTCGAAGCGGCGTCCAGGGAAGTCTCGAAGCGGAGTCGCGATGGATGTTCGTGAAAGATCTCGATCAGAGAATATGGGTTTAAACAGAGGCGCCCGTAGGTAATGGATTCATTCAGCCAGTGAAGACAGTCAAGAGCGCCGGAATAATTTCTGTGCATATTCGTTGTAGTAGATAGTAGTGTAATTCGAGCTAAAGAAATAAATCTTTGAGTTTTACCTACGCCCGATTTATTATTCGCCCGTCAAACGTAACAATATTGTTAGGAAATAAACCCATACGCCGCCCCGGTACGACGCCTATGGGCCGTCGAGAGCTTTCTGGTAGGTGCGGCGATGGTCGGTGAGTCATCATCGGTCAGGGGCCGAGTGACGTTCCATAAAGACAAGCTGCTGGAACTATAATTTTTTTGTATATTTGAAGATAACTTTAATTTTGTGTCCTAAAGTGCTATCATATAAACTAATTTACGGAAAATAAGTTCTTAGAACATAACAAGAGAGAATGCTTGCAATTATTTTAGAGAAAAGGCTTAACCTTTCCCCACTGGAAGACCTTTAAATATTAAAAATCAACACAAACAAAAAAATTGAGTTGTTGGCTTTACAAATCGAGGATATCTAAAGCTACATTAGAATACAATTTCTAAATTTTGCTAAAAATCTTGAGTGTGGTAAGCTGTAATAATTCTTGTAAATGCAAAGGAACGTTATTTTAGTGTCTGACAAGACAACTAATTACAAGGATTGCTAAAAATTTAAGTATGCCTTTTGAAAAGGTGAGGTTTCATCTGAGAAAAATAAAAATTGATAAGAAAAATTAAATATCAAACGAATATTGCCTTCAAAATGACAAAGCTTTATTTGCCATTGCCATTTCACACACGCATGTATTTCTTCCTTAATGTTAAACAAATGAAGTTATTATTCAAAATGAAATGAATCTATTGTTTTGCAAGAACTATTAACATTTTTCCGTGTCACCATATAAGAACTCTTGTCGTTGTAAAGTTGAGTCTACTAGAGAGCCTTTAACAACAAACAGAGTTTCTAAAATGTCTTCCAACTCTCAAATTCGGCATTTCTTCAAAAACCAAACTATTTTCATAACCGGAGGCTCAGGTTTTTTAGGAAAAGTTTTACTCGAAAAACTACTGCGCGAGTGTGAAGAAATCAAAAAAATATACGTGCTGATGCGTTCCAAGAAAAACAAAACTCCAACTCAACGATTCAGCGAACTCTTCAACTACGCAGTAAGTTCTTGCCAAAATTTAAACACTAATTCATCGTTTTCAAGTGCTTTGATGTCCTAAAATCCAAAGACGAAAATGTTCTGCGTAAAGTCTTTCTGATTAACGGCGACTGTCTGCAACCTCGTTTGGGTTTGAGCGAACAAGACGCCAACATTTTGGTACAAGAAGTGACGTGTGTTATCCATGCCGCAGCTAACGTCAAGTTCGACCAACCTGTTAAAGAGGTCGCTTGCAACGTTCGAGCAACAAGAGATTTGTTAGAACTGGCGAAGAAAATGACGAATTTAAAGGTAAATTTGGTGCGGATTTGACGCTTTCAACAAATTCCAAATCTAGGTGTTCGTCTTTGTTTCTACTGCGTATTCCAACTGTGTGCATGCAGACATCAAAGAGCAGTTCTACGAGCCACCAATGAAAGCAAAACAGTTGTTACAATTGGTGGATGCTCTCGATGATGACACTTTAAAAGCCATCACTCCTCAGTAGGTGACAATAGTGGTTATTAGGAGTATTTTTGATACTTTTCATTTTTAAACAGGTTGCTAAAAACGTGGCCGAACACATATGTGTTTGGTAAAAGTATTGCAGAAGACCTGATTAATACGATAGGTAAAGATTTACCAATAACAGTCGTACGTCCAGCTATCAGTGAGTACCACCTTTCCGAATGAATTCCGATTGTTGTTGCTCCTTAGTTATTAGTAGCATATCCGAGCCCAGAATTGGGTGGCATGACAACTTCTATGGTATTATCGGTGTGTGTATGGGCACTTCGTTAGGAATTATCAGAGTCATTAATTTAAAGAAGAACGGTATAGCACCATTGGTACCAGTAGATTACGTGTCAAATTGTGTTTTGGCTGCTGCTTGGCAACGAGGGACGTGTGACGTCACTACCATTTACAACTTCGTCGGTCATAAGAACAACCAAATCACTTGGGGTAAGCCTCTTCAGAGTTAAAGTTACTACTACCGTTTTTGTTTGCAGGAAGATTTATAAAAAATTCAGAGGCTAATTACTTGGAGTGTGCATTGAGGAAAGCTGTATGGCACTTTTCTTTAACAACAGTAGAAAATAAAGTTTGCTATAAGATCTGCACTTTCTTTTTACACACGGTACCGGCTTATATCGCAGATTTTGTTCTTGTGTGTTTGGGAAAACCCGCTCTGTATTGGTAAAATGTGATACTTTTGAATGGAACATAATCGCCATTTTTTAGGGTAGTCAAGAATTACGGCCGTTTGGATCGGCTGTTGAGTGCTGTGTTATATTTTTGCACTGGAAGTTGGAATTTCGAGGATCATAATGTGATGGAATTGTGGAACGCCATGGCCGATGAAGATAAAACGTTGTTTTGTTTCAATATGGAAAGAGTGGATTATGACATTTACATTCGTAATAGTGTTATAGGTACTAGACTTTACCTGTTCAAAGAAACACGGGAAAATAGTGTACGAACAAAACTAAAATTAAAAATGTTTTTTGTGGCTCACTATACACTTCTTGCATTTTTGTGGTATATTTTATATAAATTTGTTATGTTTCTTATAGAACTATTCTAGAATTTAGTTTTTATAAACCGTTGTACTTTTTACTGGGATGGTAATAAAGACAGTAGTCAGAAGTCATCAACAATCTTTTTTTTCAAAAGTAGGTTTGACTTTAGGGATTAATAAAATAAATAGTATGTATAAGATAAATAAATCCTGTTAAGGCGAGAAAAAAATCTCTAGCACCCAGCAAACTTCAAATTCGAAGTTCTCGGTCCTCAGACGAAATTACTGGAGATATACAGGGTCATCATAAAATATTGTAGTTAAGGAAGGCCATGACTTTGTTCGAACTTTAAGTGTCTCAAACAGCTTTTATCAAAGCTTCAGATCATTGTGGAATAATCTCAGGTAATAAACACAGAGGAATGACTATGGTCAGTGTTACAAATAACTTTTTTAGGTTAGGATGGGTTATTCTTTGGAGCAAAACACGTTCATCATCATGTCCTACTACCGTAATGGGGTGTTAAATGAAAATGTCTTTACATGCATCCACAGAGTACTTTGTGAATCTTTGAAGACGCCCATACGGCGAATTGTGGCCAGATTTAACGACACTGGTAGCGTCTCTAAGGGAAAACCGACGAGACCTCAAGTTAGTGAAGACGTTGAGGATTTAAGGACGAGAATGGAAGAAAGTCCGAAGAAATCTTTGTCAAAACTCTCTTTACAGTCCGGGGTACCATACAGCACGTGCCAGAAAATAGTACAATAGAAATTATATAAGATTTCGTTGGTTCAGGAGCTGCAACCAGCAGATTTTCCTCGCCGCGTCTAGTATTATCGTTGGTTTCAAGATAATATGAACGATAACAGGATTTTCCATTTCTGATGAAGCCAGGTTTCATCTGTCAGGCTACGTCAACTCACAGTACTTCAGAATTTGGAGTACAGAAAATCCTCACGCTTTTGAAGAAACACCATTACATGCAGTGAAGATTGGTGTCTGGTTAGCTGTTTCCAGACTACGATTCTTAGGCTCGATATTTTTTCAAGAGATAATTAATGCGACGAGATACAAGGAGAAAATTTTGGATGTATTTGTGAACCAGTTATTGCCCGAAGAATTATAGTCCGGTTATTTTCAGCAAGATGGTGGTACAGCTCATACGACAAGAGAAAATTGAAGATATTTGGAAGAATGTTAGGGCGACCGCATAATAAGTTCAAGAACCAATCCAGAGTGGCCCCTCCGATCTCCTGCATTGAATAGAAAGCTCAATACTGGAGGATTTGTACTTATTCGACAGATTATCGAAGTACCCTAACAGATCCTTCTCAGTACTTACATTTTACAATTTTTTCTCGTTACACCATTTCATATACCGGTAGTAAGTTTGATACTTCAGTTTTGATTTTGCTGGTAATAACGCAAATAGAACACTCGTTGGTTGCAGCTTTTTCTATATCTGAGCTAACACTCTTCGAGTCACTCATCATAAAATTCGTGACACGAAAAACGTAAAATTAAGCGTTGTTGAAACATCTAACTAGTGACCATGATATTGTTACGAAATAAACCCATAACGGCGCGACGCCTATGTTACGAAATAAACCCATAACGGCGCGACGCCTATGAGTTTTTCTAGTATGTGTGTCGATGAACGGTGACTCATCGACGGCCGAGCGGCGGGCGCATAAAGACAAGTTTGGAGCCGGTTACCAGAAGTCGCAATGGATACTCGAGAAAGATCTCAATCGGGGAAGTATGGGTTTAAATAGATGCCACCGTCGGGAACCATCATTCACCTAGTGGAGTCAGTCAAGAGCGTCCAGTGAAATTCGCCGGAATAATTTCTGTACATAATCGTTGCAATAGTGAGTCGTGTAAATACCAGTTATTAAGAAATACAAGAAAATGGTAGCAAGAAGAAATCTAGTATTAAGGGAATGGGTAAAGTACAAAAAATAGACAATAAAAGAGAGAAAATTGTAAAATTAGCTACGTGGAATATCAGAGGTCTCAATGAAGAAGGAGCGTTGAAAAAGTTAGTGCGAGAAATTAGGAAATATAGTTTTGATGTAGTAGCTATACAAGAAACAAAACAAAAAGAGAATCAAATAATAGAAATAGAAGACTATATATATTTTAATAGTGGGGATAAAAGCAAAATTAGAGGCACGGGCTTTATTGTACATAAAAAACTAAAGCAACATATATTGCAATTTCAAGCGATATCAGATAGGATGTGCTGCTTAAGGCTGAAAGGAAGATTTCAGAAGATTACGCTTATAAATGTACATGCACCAACGGAAAAAGCAGATATAGAAGTAAAAGAAGAATTTTATGAAACGCTCGATAAGGAATATGGAAAAATAAAAAAATATGATTTGAAGATTGTATTAGGAGATCTAAATGCAAAAATTGGTCAAGAAGAATTGTTTAGACCAACGATAGGAAAATATAGCAAACATGAAGTTACAAACTACAATGGTCAGATTTTAATAATAATAATAATAATAATAGGTTTTATTTTCCCAACAGACACAAGGTCCATATAGAGATAGAATCATACATTGATAACTATAATGGACTTTACTAGAGAGAAAGATATGATCATAAAAAGTACATATTTCCAAAAAAAAGAAATACACAAAGGAACCTGGATTGCACCAGATGGAAAAACTGTAAATCAAATTGACCATGTCCTAATTGAAAGAATGGAAAAAAGAAGTATAACCGATATAAGAAGTTATAGAGGACCAGATCTGGACACAGACCATTTCTTAGTAGGAGTAAAAATGAAGCAAAGAGTACCAGTTGAAAAAAACAGGAAGAACCAAGAACGCAAAAACTTAAAAACGTGTATTAGATTGAAAATGAGGAGGAGAGGAAGATGTATTTGGAAATGGTGAATGATTGGGTAGCAGGTGAAAGGCAAGATACAGAAGATATAGAAGATTTATGGTTTGAAGTTAAAAATGGAATAAAAAAAGCGTCATCACAAAGCACTCAAGAAACATGGAAGGAAAATAAAAACGAAAGATGGTTTGATAAGGAATGTGAAGAAGAATTAGAAAAAAGGACAACTTTAAGATTGAAGGTATTAAAAAATGAAACAGAAGAAAATTTAATGGCATACAAAGAACAGCGAAAAATATGTTACAAAAAGAATTACCAAGATGGCGACCGTCAATGTTACACCGAATCTTGATATTCCTGCTGATGGCGGGGTTTTATCTAATTGCAAGCATTGTAGAAAACTTATATCGAAGGAGAAAGTTTTGTGTGTAAAGTGCTTCAGTTTGTTCCACCCAGGATGTGTTAAGTTTGCCTTACAAGCGAAAAATCCCAAATGTAATCATGAATGGGAAAGTTCTCCAAAAATTGTGTGTAACAATAGTGAAGTTGAGACGGAAATTATGTATCTTAAGGAATTAGTGTCGGTGCTAAAAAGCAAGAACAATGTTTTAGAAGAAAATTGTGCTTTGCTGCGTGAGAAAAACTTGTATCTTCAGTCCGAAATTATGTCGTTGAAACAACAGCGCAAGTGTGTGTCCTCAGATAATATTATCGTGAATCCACTGTCAACATCGGCAAAAACTCTGAAGCATGATAATGAGAATGGTATCAGAAATGCCTGGTCGGCAAAGGTAAACAATGATACAATCAACATCAATGAGACCATTTCAACAGTTAGTAAGTCCAGTTTTGGTCACCAATTAGAAAACTATCAAAGTAGTCTGATGAATGATATAATTAATCTTGACCCTATAAGTACTAAGGATGATATGAATATCTCTTCCATGGAGGGCACCGATTTTAAGTTAACTGATAAGGATAAAACTAAGATGGTTGATGTTATTCAAGATGATGGTTTTAAAAAGGTTATTCATAACAAGAAAAAAGTCAATATTATTAAAGGTAAACTTGAAGGGGGCAATTTGACCTTTAAAGCTGCAATTAAAAAACGATATATATATATATATTGGCAATTTATCTCTAGATTGTAAGTCTAATGCAATTCAAGATTATCTCATGTCGAAATTTCCAGAAAGAAATTTTGAGGTTGAACAACTACCCAAAAGAGACTCAGCCAGGAGTATTGCGTTTAAAATAACTGTTGATGAGGACATGTTTAATAAATTACTTTGTGAAGATATTTGGCCTTCTGGAGTAGTTATAAAGAAGTTTCATTTTTTTCGCAGTATAAGAAAGGATCCAGTAATGTCATAGGTAACTCCTTACACAAAAGCAATTTTAGAGTATATTATCAAAATGTCAGGGGTTTGAACACTAAAATAAGTGATTTTTATTGTGAGTGTCTCTCTGAAGAATTTAGTGTAATTGTCTTGACTGAGACATGGTTTTATCCTGAAGTTAACAGTAATGAGTTATTTGACAACAGATACGTTGTGTACAGGTGTGATCGTAACATGTTCAACAGTAGTAAAATGCGCGGAGGTGGGGTTCTCATAGCTGTTTTGAAGACATTTTTATCTAGTGAGATATTATTAAATGTAAATACTGTTGAGCAGTTATTTGTAAAAATAACTGTTGGTTCAGTTGACATTATTATAGGAACAGTTTACCTACCTCCTGATTCTGGAATTGGTAAATACGTAGTGCATACTGAAACAGTAAATGATATATGTGATAAAAATGTCAGTTCTTATATTTTCCTGGTTGGTGACTATAATTTACCCAACATCGTGTGGCATCCTGATGATGAGTTTAATGGTTATGTTCCTTTTTCATCCGCAGGGCTATGTGAATGTCACATTTGCGATTCTTTCTCTGCATGTGGTTTACATCAGTTAAATTGTTTTAAAAATATAGCTGGCAATGTACTAGATTTATGTTTCACTAATTTAGATGATTGTAACCTGTCATTGTGTAATGCCCTTAGTATTATTGATGCTAGTCATCCACCTCTTTTGATTGAAGTTGTTCTTGACTGCTTCATTGATATGAATTGTAATAAAGTTGAATACTATTTTGACTTTAACTCTGCATCTTACGTTGATATTTGTAACTATTTTTCTGGTATTAATTGGTGTTCAATTTTTGATAATATCGTTGATGTTGATGATGCAGTAAATATTTTCTATGAATATGTACATGCTGCTTGTGAGCAATTTGTACCAGTCAAATGCAAAGTAACTTCTTCGTATCCCAAGTGGTTTAGTCGTGATATTATAAATCTTATAAAGGCAAAGAAAATTGCTCATAAGCAATTTAAAAGAACTAATACTAATACAGATTATGTGAAATTTGTAAATTTGAGAAGTTTATGTAAAGTTATGATTAAGAATGCGTATAGTGAACATATCTCTAATATTCAGAATGACTTGTTGTTAAATCCCAGTAACTTTTGGAAATTTATCCGCACAAAATCTAACTGTCAAATGCCACTGCCAATGAGATCGGGCAATGAAATTTTTTATAATGATATTGATATTTGTCAATGTTTTAGTAATTACTTTGGCTCTGTATATTGTAACGTTATTAATCCTAATTTTAATGCTGTTTTTGATTCAGTGGTTAATATTGATAAAATTAACATTCACTTATCAGATGTTAAAAGTGCGTTAGATATGATTGATTCTAACAAGGGAGCTGGTCCTGATTTCGTTCCTCCAAAATTTTATAAGAACTGTGGTAAGTCTTTAGCATTACCGCTGCAATTGTTGTTTAATTTATCATTACAATCTGGTAAGTTTCCGTCATTATGGAAGGTCACTCATGTTGTACCTATACATAAAGCAGGTAGTAAGCCTTCCATTGAAAATTATAGGCCTGTTTCCATCCTGTCAACACCTTGTAAGATATTGGAATCGATAGTACACACTCATATTTCTTATGCTTTTAAAAATATTATCTCTTTGAATCAGCATGGTTTTTTTCGTAAAAGGTCAACTATAACTAATTTGTTAAGTTTTACTGATAATGTTATTAAGTCATTTTCTGAGAGTGCTGAAGTTCACACTGTGTATACTGACCTCAGCAAGGCCTTTGACAAAATTAGTCATAAAATGTTAATAAATAAACTTAGCGCTTATGGTGTCTCTGGTCATCTACTTCTATGGTTTACTAGTTACCTTGATAATCGATCTCAAATTGTGAAATTCAAAAATTGCTTCTCGTCTTCGCAGATTATTACCTCTGGGGTCCCACAAGGGTCAATTCTTGGGCCTTTGCTCTTTTCCATTTATATAAATGATGTGTCTAATATACTCAAATGTAATTTTAGCCTGTTTGCTGATGATTTAAAAATATTTAAAACTATTAGGGATAGTAACGATATGCTTTTACTGCAAAGCGACTTAGATTCTCTCTCATTGTGGTGTAAGGATAACTTAATGAAATTAAATTATAGTAAATGTCAAGTAATATGTTTTAGTCGTAAAATTCTGGCATCAATTCCGTGTTATGCTATTGACAACAATTCCTTAAAAGTTGTTTCTTCCGTAAAAGACCTTGGTATCATTTTAGACAGCAAATTATCCTTTGTCTTGCATTGCGAATATATTGTTTCAAAAGCTAATAAAGTATTAGGGTATATAAAGAGATACTGTCATGATTTTAATGATATTCGTACTTCTCTAGTATTATATTCATCATTGGTCCGTTCAGTTTTGGAATATGGGTGCATACTGTGGGATCCTATATATCAGATACATAAGAATAGAATTGAACGCATTCAAAATAAGTTTGTCAAATCTATTTTGTTCAAATTACCACTTAAGGTCTCTCATTCTACTAGTCTTAGTAAATCTTATTTGGGTTTGTCTTTATTAGGTGTACGTCGTGATTTTTACAAAATTTGTTTTATGTATAAACTTTTAAACAATATGTGCGATTCTGACATTCTTAATTCTATTAACTTCAATGTTCCTCAGTTCAATGTTAGACAAGCTCCCTTGTTCTACATTAAATTCAATTATACGAATTATTTGTTGTTTTCACCACTTAATAATATATTATTTACTTGTAATTCTATTTATAGCAGAATTGATTTTTATTCAGATACTTTTCCTAAGTTTCAAACTAAGTTAAGGCAAATCTTATTTTAAAAATATTGTAACATTCTCATGTGATTTTATTATTTTTTCTTTGTATTGTTTAAGGATGTTTTTCCGTCAATAAAGTAAGTAAGTAAATATGTAAAAGGCTCTTACGCGAAAAGAAAAGAAAATATAAAGAAAGACAATTAGACAAGATAGAAGAAAACTACAAAAATAAAGAGATAAGAAGTATGTACCAAGGATTGAAACAAGAAAAAAAAGGATACCAATCAAGTTCGGTGTTCTATAAAAACGAAAAAGGTGAACTGGTAGGAAATGAAGAAAAAAATTTAGAACTCTGGCAGAGGTACTTCGACGAACTCCTAAATGGGGAAGAAAATGGAGGAATGATAGAAGAAAATTTAAACAAAGAAGATATACATGATGAAGAAGAAGAGAAAGCACCAAGTCTAAGAGAAGTAAAGGAAATAATAAAGAAATTAAAAAATAACAAAAGTCCGGGAGAAGATCAAATAACGGCGGAATTACTAAAATACGGGGGGGAGAAGCTAGAAGAAAAGATACAGAAACTTTTAGAACAAATTTGGCTGCAAGAACAAATGCCAAATGCCACAAGATTGGAACGAAGCTATTCTCATTCTAGTACATAAAAAGGGGGATAAGATGAAATGCTCCAACTATAGAGGAATAGCACTTCTGAATGTAGTCTATAAAATTCTTGCCTCGTATATAAAAGAGCAAGTAATAAAAAAAGTAGAGAAGGAAATTGCAGAGTACCAAGGTGGCTTCAGAGCGAACAGGTCGGTAGTGGAACAGATATTTACACTACGTGAGATACAAGCAGAAAGTTTTTAGTATAAAAAAGACACTTTTGTGTTATTCGTAGATTTCAAACAAGCATATGATAGAATCAAGCGCCAAAAGTTATATGAAGCTCTAAGAGAACTAGGTACGAAAAACAAGCTAATTAAGATGATAAAACTCACCTTAAAAGACACGGACAATAGAGTAAGAATCAAAGGAAAATTGTCAAAAAAATTTAAAGTGAAAGAAGGATTACGGCAAGGGGACCCCCTCTCGCCAATTCTATTTAATTGTGCGTTGGAATACGTGGTTAGGAAAGCCAATTTGAATAGATCAGGGTTGCTATATCACAAAAGTCATCAGTGTCTAGCTTTTGCTGATGATGTAGCAATTTTAACAAGAAGTAGGACAGCACTACATAAAGCTATGGTAAACCTGGAAGAAGAAGCGCAGAAAATGGGACTGCAGATTAATAAAACAAAACTAATGACGTGGACTGAGAAAGAGTACGATAGTCTAGGAGAGTTAAGAGTAAATACAAATACAGGAAAAACGTATCGCTTCAAGGAGGTGGAAACATTTACCTATTTGGGCACAGAATTTTATAGGAAACCAGACATGACAAGACAAATCCAAAGCAGAATAATGGCCGGAAATCGTAGTATTTACGCATTTAGGAACATTATGAACAGAAATTCTTCAAGAGGTCTGAAGTTAAGGGTCTACAAGACAATTATTCGTCCCATTGTAATTTTCGCAAGTGAGACACTAGGAATAAATACACAAAAGATGTTGAAGATATGGGAAAGAAAAGTACTCAGGAAAATATATGGAGGAAAAAAAAACAGAAGATGGATGGGAAAGAAGAACAAACAATGAGTTGGCAGAGTTATATCATGAACCGAACATAGTGGCAATTGTAAAAGGACAACCATTAAGATGGTTCGGACACGTTATGAGAATGAAGGAAGAAAGAGTACCCAAGAAAATTTTGGAAAGTGGTATCGGAGGGAAACGTCGACAAGGACGACCAAGAACACGGTGGAAAGAAGATATACTAAAGGACATAGCAGAGGCGAATATTGCAAACTGGAGGAAGAAACTTAAGAACAGGAAGGAATGGCGAGAAGCAACCAACCAAGCCATGGGCCAACTTGGCCTGGAGTGCTAATTTATATATATAAGAAATACATCGTTGAGTTTCATCCATGCCAAATTTATTCGCCCGCAACGTAATAATATCATAAAATTTAGTGCCAAATTTGAATTTTTTTGTAAAATATTTATTTTTAAGCGACCCTTGGACAATATTATACATATACCATTTGTCACAAATCATAGGTTTAAAAAATAATCTCATTATTGCTCCTTTGCTCTGTTTAGAGACGCCTAATTACACTTGATCTAGCTACATATTACTCTTAATCACATAATGTAACTCTAATTTCGAACTAAGATATAAAAAATAACATTTCCTTAAAAAAAGAATCCTAAAATAAGTGCCACAAATTTGTACAACAGATACCACAAAAGCGCTATAACAGTATAATGCAGCACAAACATAATCTTTATTTTTCTTTCTCCCTTAGGAATAGTATCAGGTGTATCCTTCAACAAATGAAGTCTCGCACCCATACAACTAGCATGCGCATATTCATTCCAATCAACTTTCTCCATACTGAAAAAGAACGACCTCTTATCTTCCTCGTTCATATGATTCCACAACCCCATCACATTATCATTATCAAAAACCCAACTCCTTGTTGAAAAATACGAAATTAAATCCAGCATTTTGTTCAACCTTCTATAACTTTTAACGGCTCTAAAACGAAAAACTAATAAATGTGCAACCACTAACTCCTGAAGTACATTGTCGGTTTTCCAAAGCAGATGAGAATAAAATCGACGACGTAAGCCGGCACTGTGTGCATAAAGAAAACACAAATGTTGTTCCATGTCTTGTTTTCTCTGATGTCGAAACAGTAGTACCACAAGAGTTTCTCTGAGGCAGCTGACCAACAGTTCGGTATCACTATTTGCATAAACTTCTCTAAAATAAAAATTTTGGGTTGTTGGAGATTTTTAAAAGGGTACTTACGCCAAGTCTGACAGGTGCGTGTGTCCCCTACGTAATTATATATGGTGGTGGTACCATCGGAAGTGCCTCTTTTCCATGCGGCTGCTAAAACACAATTAGAGACATAATCTACTGGTACTAATGGCGCTAGAGCGTCATGTTTCGCATTCAAGGTTCTAATAACACCCAGAGCGGCTCCAGCGACGATACCAATGACACCGTAGAAGTTATCGATCCATCCAGGCATGGGTTCCGATAAGGTACTAGTAACTACGGAAAATTACAGGGACTGTGTTAGTTGTACTAGTTTTTCGAATCTTGTAAGATATATGGCTGGTGTAAAAAGCGATGCGCGTTGCGTGAGCAGACAACTTGAACAGTGCCTGACATCGGAAAGACAAGCAGCCACTTTCAGGGGCATCAAGACGAGGTGTCTCTGGAATGGGTAAAACAAACACTCTTGTGGGAAGGCGCACAACTTAACGTGGTCCCCTTGGCTGAACTACCAAGGCTAGTGAGGGCGACCTTGTGGATACCGGGACCACCGGTGGATGCAGAGGTCGTACTTTTCCACCTAGAGGGTCAGAACCAAGAGCCCGCGTTAAAAAATGGCTTCTTTTCCGTCACGAGGCCAAACCCGAGGATGCCTCTCCAGGCAATCTCTTTGTGTTTGGGCTTGGGATGGATGAGGCCAAAACAACCAGGGACAGAGAGGGCAGAATCAACTATATGCTGTCCTCTTTTAACTTGAAACTTAAAGAGAACGAGGCGTCGACTCAGAAAGGGCGGACCCTTATGGAAGAGGCAGAAACCCCAGGGGATGAAGCCTCTACCAGTGGGGGCAGACCCGCCCAAGACATAAGCCTCGTGTCTCCTAAGATATGTATGAGATTTTTGGTTACAGAGATGGCGCTGCACCAGATAAATTAGCTTGATTTTGAATGAGTTTGTCTTCCAGCGTTATACCAATGCAGGAAAAAGAGAAAAGGGCCAAGTTCGATCCAGAATCGCAGTACCGCAGGTCGCCATTATTTCCGAAACACCCACTGCATCACGAAGACGTTTAAACCGTGTCAGGAATAAAACGTTATTATACTCGTACCTTGCAAACGTTTTTGCGAAAATTTGAACGTTTAGCAAAAAACTGAAAGTGGATTCGTAACATCCAAATTATTTTAGAATACCATTCATTGAAATGACGTCATTAAATTGTGGGTGGGGATGATTAGCCAAATTTTATTATTTAGCATTTAACCGTCTACATGATATTTCTAATATAGATAGAAAATTTGGCAACAATCAGTTCAGGTTTCGGTGATTACGTGTCTAATGAAAATGGATACAGACAGACAGATGGAAACGGGAGAGATAAAAGTGGCCATTCGTCCGATGAACTCGATTACAATACTTTCTTCGCTTACGCTTGGGAAGTAAAAATTTAATTTCACCGATTGCTGCTCCAAATATATTTTTTATTGTACACTCGTTACTTGAAGTGTTGCCATATAATCTTACAGAATTCGGGAAACTATACTTACCAATAGCTGGACGCACGATTGTTACAGGCACAACTTCACTAGCCGCATTGACGACATCTTCAGAGATACTTTTGCCAAAGATATAAGTGTTCGGCCAGTTTTTCAACAACCTAGTCAAAAAAAAACCGTGATGTAGTTATTTTAACACAACTAGACTTACTGTGGGGTCACGTCAACTAAAGTCTGGTCATCCAAAGCATTCACCACCGAGAACAAATTTTCAGTTTTCATTGGGGGCTCGTAGAAGTCTTCTTTGATGTGGTCGTTGACACAGTTCGAGTAGGCAGTGGAAACAAAGACGAAAACCTACAAGCCAACTTATTTGACAATACACAAGTTAGACGTTTCGCACCTTCAACTTCTTCATCCGTTTCGCTAATTCCAACAAATCCCTAGTCGCTCTAACGTTATAAGTGGCTTCTTTGAGCGACTGGTCGAACTTAACATTCGCCGCAGCGTGAATCACACAGGTGGTCTCCTTCAACAAGATATCGACGTCTTGGTCGCTCAAACCCAGAAGAGGTTGCTGGCAGTCGCCGTTGATAAGACATACTTTTTTCAAAGAGTTGGCGTTTGTGCTTTTGAGGAGGTCAAAGCACTTGAAGAATATTGTTACAAGTGGCGGTACGACAAGTTTAAAAACTTACAGCGTAGTTGAAGAGCTCCTCGAAGCGCTCTTCTGGGGTTTTGTTCTTCTTCGTACGCATCAACACGTATATTTTTTCGATTTCTTCGCATTCTCGAAGTAGCTTCTCTATTAAGACTTTTCCCAAAAAACCGGACCCTCCGGTGAGGAAGACGGTTTGGTTTTGGAAAAATGTTTTTATTTGGCTGACGTCGGGCAGCATTTTTGGAGTGCAACGGGTTTGATTGAACTGAGCCCGGAGTGGAATATTTTATCAGTTTTGAATACAGGGGAAGGGTAAAGGTTAGCACTCGCTATTGACTTCGTGTAAAAACGGCTGAAGCGACATCCGGGTACTGTTTGTATGGTTGTCGGTTACATAAACTGTGTGTTAATTCGGACTGCAAAAAATTTAGGTACTGTATGTTACCAGACAGTTTGAAATCATCGAATTCGCTAACGTCTCATTTAATTTTAGCTAGACGATTTCACAGTTTTTAACACAACTTCACTCTGGAGCACTGTATGTTTCAAGAGATATTTTCTCAATACAGTTTTGAGATGATATAATCACATTTTCGATGGGGATGAATTGACAATATTTAGGTTGCGAGATTTTTTAAATACATCTAAATGGGGACTTACTTTTTCATATACTAGAAGCTATTGAACGTCGACAAAACTTAAAATTAGCCGTTTATCAAATTTCTGCGGAACAATATACTGGTGTTTGCAAGAATATCTAATTTTTATAATTTTCTGAGTGAATTTTACACACGTGCTGTATGCATTATTCTTAAATAGGACTATACATTACATTTATTATACAGGGTGGAAACTAGTCTGCGAAACGTATGGAATAAATTCAGTAATTTATTTTAAAACTGATGCGATTTCTTGAAAACGCTTAAACAAAGTGTTAATTAAAAAAAATGGACAATAACTCATATGATCTGCATTGTTATGGAAATAGCTCGAAACAATCACAACAATGCGTGTTTAAATATTTAAAAATATTCATAAAATTCATGACAGTGCAAGTTCGCATTATTCTTAATCATGATGATAATATACTGGTAATATTTTTACTTTTATTTTGCAATATTGGACTATCAATATTCATAAAAGTGTCCTTTGTGATCCTGAGTAGATGTTTCTTGTAGTGTAGTAACCATGGACAATGTCGGTTATTATTCAGTTCAGTTAAATAAAAATTCTTACGATAATGACGTATGTTATGAAACTAATTATACCAGAAAATAGTTAGTAGAAATAGGTACTAAAGAGGAAAAATTTAAAAATTGGTGTGATTGTCAACAAAATGGAACTCTACAAAAGGTGGTAAACTTCTTTATTAACTTGTGATTGTACAGCTCGTTGTGAAATTAACACAATTCTCTAGTTCGTAATATCTTGAGTAGGTGGAAATATCCAAGTTATTACTGGGTGTAGTACAAATTTAAATACGAAAAAAAGCAAACCTGAATGAGTGAAGTTCTTTCACTTGCTTTAAAGTAACATTATAATACCTAGTAATTATTTGAACACCAAAACAAATCTAACTACAACCTCTCTAAAATCACGAGGTTTATTCTTTTTCATCGCACTTGGGGCTACATTTAATTTTAAACCGGGACACCACAATGTAGTCCTGGGACCATGGACGTTTAATAAAAGACAAATGCGGATCAGCATTAGCTCATAGAATTTGACGATCTGAGCTACGTTGTAGAATAAATATTCGTTAATTACGCGTTTCTGACGCAAACATTTGTATTGTGTTGCCGAATTTTTAAATATTGGAATATATTCATAGAATTCATGACAGTGCAAGTTGGCAACATTTTAAATTATGTTAATAATTCATTGTTGTTATTAATGTTATTGTAGTCCACACTCTGACGTTTTTCCCACGGTAGATTAGTCCGGTCTCATTATCATTTTCATTATTAACAAATTCTTGAAACTCTGATGATTAGTATGGATACTTAGTCATACCAGTAACAATAACTCAGGAATACATTATCAACAGTGTTGGGCAGTATCTAGATACTTGTATCTAAATAAAGTATCTAGATACATTTTTGGGTATCTATTATCTGTATCTAGATAAAATCGAATTTAAGCACAAAATATCTGTATCTAGATACAAAATTAATGGCGCAGATACAGATACATTTTTTTATTTCACTTTTTTTCAGTAGTTATTAATTGAGTTATACTAGTAGTAATTTTTGATACTTGATGTTGGTGATTTTGGTCACATAAACAAAAATAGAGGTAAGAAGTGTACTAATAGTGTTCTGTCACCGAAATTTTCATATTTTAAATACCATCATTTCCTACATTGTAGCCTTCAGTACTTATACATCTTTAAATATAATCCTGAGGGGTAATAAATCTAAGCAATGGTAAGATGGTGTTTTAAAAACCATAAACCACAGTTCACTATTCACTAGTAAAAATATTTGTTTAAGGTATGTTATTATTTTTAGAAAATAATAATTGCGTGTTACATAACGATTAATTTTTTCAATTAACACAAATTAGTTCTGTAATCGACTAATCGAATGTTCAATACATACATTTCCCTCGCATAAATCGCATATTTGTTACTGTTTTATACTCTTATTTTTCAGACAAATGTAGCGTCTTTTCCTGTTGCCACATGTGTCATTTCTTCACTTTTTCATTGGTGGACCTAACGCGAGGCGGGCTTGGCAGGTCCGTTTTGCCCGAGAATGTGCCGATTATGTTTAAGTGTACATCTTGGGCAATAAAATTAATATTTTTACAACCCTCGGTAGAATAATTTATCGTGATATATTCTCAGAAATCGTGAAACGAGATTAAAATAAAATGAGTTTCAACAAAAATCTGAAAATTTAAAGTTACACTCTGGTGATTCCTGCCTGCCAGGCAGCCTTTGATCCTATAAGAAATTGTACTTATTTTGTCTTAAACGGAACCAGCAATTCTTCCTAAAATGTGTATACCTGCCGCACCGGGATAGACGATTACCGGACATGGTCATAAAAACATCGTATGCCGATATTGAAGAATAATAATTTATGACAGGTTGCCAACAACAGACCTTCAGCACAGAATAATCATTTCCCGTATTCTTTTGAAATATTAATTTTAATACCGGAGATAATTATTAGATATAGTCAAACACAATTTGGACACTGTAGTATGGGAATAAAAACAAAGCAAATATTCTTTTTAAGCGTACGTAATAAATATTGCACAATTTGCTACACATCAAACAGCGAAGCGATTGCCTATTGGCAGGAAAAAAGAAAAGATTTTTCAGTCTTGAATAACTATGCTACAGTAAAATGTTTATTTTTTAAATTTAATACCACAATCCCTTCTTCTATACCTGTGGAACGGGTGTTTAGTAGCGGAAACCAAATTCTGACACCAAGAAGAAATAATTTAGGTGACAATACGTTCGAAATGTTGTTAATTTTAAAAAATTCATTTAACAATACATAAAAAAATACATAAATATGTTTTCAGTTATTTTATTCGCCAAAGCTTCAAAAAGTATTTGTTTTCTTGTATCTGTATCTAGATACATTTCGAAAAAATCGAAAACAATCTGTATCTAGATACTTTTATCTTCCATATATCTATATCTGTATCTAGATACTTTTAAAAGTATCTGTCCCCAACACCGATATCAGGTAACTTATTTCAATGAACTTGTGATTAGTAATATTGATTTTATTAAATATTTATGATAATGACACTTGACTTGCCTTTGTTTCCATTTTTATTACCTCATTGTCGCTTCTTTACTTCCGGTGAAGTTTTTATTTAACTTTATATTTAAAATTCCTACTGTAAAATTTATGGATAGGAATATGAATTAGAAGATTATAAATGTAAATGAGACAATGTATTATCAAGTAAGAATTTTATTGCTTGACTTATACGTACCAACCATGTACAAAAAATATATATAATACGAAGTGCGGTAAAAATATAAAAATATCAGTTTTCACCTTTGGAAGCCTCTTTGGTTTTAGAGACACGAATATCTTTCAAAAATTCGGCGGGACGTGGGGTATTTTTCTCATTTTTCAACACTGGAGTAAAGTCTAAGTTATCGATCTAAAATAAAAATTAGTTGTTAAAATGTTGTTCTTCACAGAATGTTTCAGTAATAAACAATTCATAGAGGTCTCGTAAACCGTTGAAACTTCTCAAAAAACTAATTGAAAATCAAATGGGGCAACCACAATCTATTGATTTCCATGAACTATTTCATCCAACCCCACAGACAAAAATCCCAGGGAATGAGATCGGGTGAACGCGGAGGCCAAGCTACTAGGCCGTTTTTACCGAACCGCTGGTTATAAAAATGGTTATAATTAACGATGTTGTTTACAGGATTCGACGAGGGCCGAGGACGAAAATGAAGATTGTTCATTTAGACCGCCTCATAAAATATAACAGTGACACCGTTAAGGAGGGGGCAATGTTACGAAATTAACCCATACGCCGCCCCGGTATGACGCCTATGGGTTTCCGAGTTTTCTGGTATTTACGGCCATAATAACGCATTGTGGATGACGTCACCCAGACAGCGCTCGCACAAAGACAAGCCTCGAGCGGATTACCGGAAGTCGCGATTGCGGAGTCCAGAAAAACGCTCGAAGCGGCATTCAATAAAGATGAATTCCAGAAAGACCTCGATTGAGAAACATCGCGGAGGAAATACGAGTTTAAATAAAGGCCACCGTCGGAAGCGGAGATAATTCAGTCGAACCCCGGGTTCAGCGAATGTTGAGTCAGCAAGTCGAGTGAACCACGGAAATACTTTGCACATAATCGGTGTAATAGTCGTGAATATTCGAGTTAGTAAGGAATAAATTGTTGAGTTTTACGCAGGCCAATTTTTATTCGCCCGTACATCGTAACAGTACTTAAATGAAACTTTTCCTGGCAGATGGATAGGCCGAAGGGGTACTATTGTGTGGCCTGCGAGGTCACCGGATTTGACTTTTGTCATTTCAATCAGAATCAAAGTATGACTGTGCTATATCAATGAATTCAGAAAAAAAAGCTCTATTCAAAAATCTTTAAATTATATGGTAGTGCCAAGTGAGCCGAATACATTTTTTTTTTAACTAATAATAATTAGAACACAACTTGTTGTACCTCTATAATTAATTTCAGTTGATTTGTACAATTGGTTCTCAAGATATTTAACCGTTTCCATACATTCTAGCGACCCTGTATATATTTAATTTTAATGAGACGAAGGTCTAAAGTACACCATGAAAGCACTCTGTATTTTTGTTGCTTCAGTAGTGTCAGAGACATCCAAAACTTGTTTATTGTTATTTTAAATTCATAATAATAATTTCTGAAGGTAGTTTTTGATTTTGCTTGCAAAAATGAAAAAATATACAAGGTGTATAAATCAAGAAAATTAACTTAGAGACATTTCCATTTGTTGCAATATGTCAGAATTAGATACGCTCTGGCCCAGTACTGGTGCGACACTTGTGTGGTTGAAAGTCTGGACCCTTTTGTCTTTGTCGGCGTTTCACGGCAAATCGACGTCCAGATGTCGAGACTTTTTTTTACTAAGTTAGTTTTCACATATTGTAAATATCTAAGTCAGTTAATAAATACCTTCGCTAGTGTTAACATCGTTGGCCTTTTATTTTTCGCACTTTAAATACGCACATAAATTAACAGGTTATGGGCCCAGATTACGTATCGAGTATTGTGCAGTTAGTATTTTGAAAAAGTGCAATTAGTGGAATATCAGCGATTAGTTCCTATTCGAAGTTGTGATTTGTAGTTGGTCAGTGTTCAAGTTCGGTTTCGCGGCCAATAGTAGCAGACACATCGAAAATGGATAAGTTCGCGATAGCTAAGTTTAACGGCAACGATTTTGCAGTATGGAAGTTTCAAATGCGCGCCTATCTGCGGTATCACGAATTGTTAGACATTGTCGAAGGTATGAAAGCTCGCCCTGATTCGGGAGGTACGTCCAAGGAACAAGAAGAATGGGACAGAAAAGACGAGAAAGCTCAATTTGCGTTATCGTGCGCTCTAGAGACGAATGTTGTGCGTCATATAATGAATATGAAGACTGCAGCTGAAATGTGGACACGACTGGTGACTATTTACGAACAAAAGAACAAGACGTCGATTCATATTTTACACCAAAAATTTTATAATTATCAAATGCGACCAGGCGCAACAATTACTGAACATGTTGCTGCTATCAAAGAGCTGGTGAGACAGCTGGAAGATCTGAATCAGAAACCCACCGATGAACAAATAATCACCAAAGTACTGTACACATTACCACAACAGTATCAGCATATAGCAGCGGCTTTTGATATGCTTCCAGAAAAAGAGCAAACCATGGTCAACCTTCTTCCTCGGTTATTAAAGCTGAAAACAATGAGAAATGGAATGATCGAGATTAAAAACGACGAAGAAGACAACTCAGCCCTTTACACAAGCAACGGCAATCGGGGACAACGCCAAAATCATCAAAGAAATAGAGGTGGTCGTTATCAAAATCAGCAGCGACAGCAATCTACAAAACAGCGATTTAGTGGGAAGTGTTATAATTGCGGTAAGACGGGACATAGAAAGATCGACTGCTACAAACCCCAAAACACTCAAAACAATGGCCAAGCGAATGCAGCATCAAACAGCAGCGCATCGAGTGCGATGATGTATACAGCCGAAACGATGGCTGTCGGTAACGCGGGCGAATTATGGGTCGCGGATTCTGGTGTGAGTAAACACATGACTTTTCGGCGCGACATTATTACAAATTATAGGGAGTTTAGTGCAAGTGAGAGAAAACCGATCACAGTGGGCAACAATGAAACTATTTACGCGGAAGGTGAAGGAGATGTAATGATTAGTTCGTACGTTAATGGACAAGTACTGGAGCAAGGCATGAGTGAAGTGTGGTACGTGCCTGAAATTGGGAAAAATCTATTCTCAATAAGTGCAGCTAGTAATCATGGTGTTAACGCATTATTCAGCAAACACACGTTACAATTGTTTAGTCGTGGCAAAGTGGTAGCCACCGGACAATTGGCTAAAAACGGTTTATTCGAAATGAATATTCGCGCGCGGGCAACGGCAGAGGCTATGATCGCAAGTGCAAGTGCTCAAAACGTTCGAGTGTGGCATGAACGGCTTGGACATGTTGCATTTAAAGTGGTTCGCGAAATGGCCAAAAGTGACGCGATAACTGGCATGAAAGTTGTGGACTCGAAAGATAGTGCGGACAATCAGGACACATTTTGCGAAGACTGTGTATACGGCAAGCACGTGCGACAACCGTTCCCGTCCTCAAATTCGCGGGTTGAACGGCCAGGAGATCTAATGCATTTTGACACGATCGGACCATTGAATGAATCGTTAGGTGGTTCGCGGTTCGCAGCTGTATTTACAGATGATTGCAGTGGTACGATCATCGCAGTTCCAATGAAAACAAAGTCCGACGTCGTCGACGCGATGATTAGTGTAATAGCTGATGCAGAAGCGAATGGACATAAAATAAAACGCGTGCGATCGGACAATGGGGGTGAATTTTTGGGCAGTGAAATGAAGGCGGTGTTAACCAAGAAATTTATTAAACAAGAACTGACCACACCGTACTGTCCACAACCGAATGGGCGGGCCGAACGATCTAACAGGACATTAAATGAAATGGTGCGGTGTCAACTTGCAAGCGGAAACCTGCCCCAAGGACTATGGGCGGAAATGATTAGAAACGGGGCTCACATTAGAAATAGAATACCACGTGCCCGTCTCGAAGGGAAAACCCCCTACGAACTCTGGACCGGTCGAAAGCCTGATTTGAGTCATTTGCGTAAAATTGGTAGTACTGCATATGCATTAATTGACGAGTCGAAACGGAGCAAATTTGAAAAGAAGAGCGAACGGCTCATCTTAGTTGGATATGAATTTGAGCAACACGCATATCGACTTTGGCGGCCAGGTACAAAAGTAATTATTAAGAGTCGTGACGTAAAAATTGTCGAATTACCACCAAAAAGACCTCTTCAATTGTTACCTGAAATCGCTACAAATGAAGAACAATCAACACCAACACGAGCGGCGTACTCGAAACGCGTGGTACCTTCAGATGAAAACTCCATCGTAAACAACACCCGATCTAAGACGAAGAAAAGGATGGAAGAAAAAGATGAAATGACCGAAGTTCAATTTGCAGCCCTCCTGACTGAAGGTGAGAAAATAGTGACTAAAACACCTGAAACTCTCGCAGAAGCGCTAGCCACGAATGATTCAAAACAGTGGGAGCTTGCAATGGCTGATGAATTGGAGTCTTTAGCCAAAAATGAAGTTTGGGAATTGGTGGAGCTTCCAGCGAACAGACGACCAATCCAAAATAAATGGATATTCAAGATTAAAACCAACCCGGACGGCAGCATCAATAAATACAAGGCACCGTTGGTCATTAAGGGATGTTCGCAAAAAGCGGGCATCGACTACGCGGAAACGTTTTCACCCGTTGCACGGTTCGAATCAGTGCGTGTATTGTTGGCCATCGCGGCGGCCAAAGATTATGAACTCTTTCAGATTGACGTGAAAACTGCTTTCCTTTATAGTGAGCTAAAAGAGGAAATATATATGGTGCAACCGGACGGTTTTGACGACGGTAGTGGCCGTGTGTGTAAACTAAACAAAAGTTTATACGGACTGAAACAGGCACCATTAGTGTTTCATGAGAAAATGGACCCTACTCGGTTTGACCGGTGTGTGTACGCGTCTGACAATAACGAACTTTATTTCGCGCTGTACGTGGATGATGGTCTGGTAATCGGTAGTTCCGTGGAACGTGTCAACAGTTTCATAAACAAACCAAAACTGAATTTTGAAGTTACCGGTGACGTGGCAAACTATATGCAAATAGTGCGCGATCGTGGGACAAAAACTCTACACTTAAAACAAACTGCTGAACATTTGGTGCGAAACCCTGTTCACCATCGACGCACCAAACATATCGACGTCAAGTTCCACTACACACGTGACGCCTATCAACGGGGAGAGATTGATATCAACCACGTTGGGACAACGGAACAACTGGCGGATATGTTCACGAAACCGCTAAGCCGTGATAAATTTGCCAATAATTTAAAATTGTTGAATTTACATTCAGTTTAAGACTTATTCTCTTAAGTATTATTTTATTTGTGTGTTCTAATTTTTCTTGTGTTTGTTTATTTAGTTCATCTGACCAGAGCGAGTGGGAGTGTTGCAATATGTCAGAATTAGATACGCTCTGGCCCAGTACTGGTGCGACACTTGTTTGGTTGAAAGTCTGGACCCTTTTGTCTTTGTCGGCGTTTCACGGCAAATCGACGTCCAGATGTCGAGACTTTTTTTTACTAAGTTAGTTTTCACATATTGTACATATCTAAGTCAGTTAATAAATACCTTCGCTAGTGTTAACATCGTTGGCCTTTTATTTTTCGCACTTTAAATACGCACATAAATTAACACCATTTAACGCGAAAAGGTAAACAGGAGAAAATGTCAGTTTCACACATACGTTCATGCAAAATTTCAAAAAAATCTCCTTACTAATAATGAAACTAATTAACCGTCGAGGAACTTTTTAATGTTAAAACGTGTTATGAGATCATCAAAGAGCGGATTTATATGTCCAAATATTTGTCAAGAGGTACGTATTTATATATATGCACAAATGTTTTTCACAATATGCACATTTTTTCCAAATATGCACAGTTTTATGCGCATATGCAATTTACCCCCGGCGACCCGGGAAGAAAGAACAATAAACAACATACAAAAAACACGAAAAATGTTTATAATTACATTTATTTATTAGTTTAGGCTTCCGATTTTAGGTCGTTAAAAAATGAATAAAAGGAGACATTTTTAGGTCCCAAAATTGACGAATTAGGTTATAAAAATCTTAGTTTAGGTTAAAAACCTGGAGGAAAAAATATTTGGTCAACGAAAAAGCATACATCAAAAAATATATATTTAAAAAAAAAAAACATTAAACAAAACATTATAGAAACAAATATTTTGTGCAACAAACAAAAAAATTATTAAATGAACAAACGATCTATAGTTACGTCCACAAAATCGCAAAAAAGTGGCGATCAAATTAAAGCAAGTCGCATTTAACAAAAAATAAAATAATAATTCAGGTATTTAAAATGAGTTACAAAAGCAAACTAGATATTTCTCTAAATTTTCGATTGGAAATTTACACCTTTGATCGCTTAAAACACTTTTAAGTTTTGAAAACGTGCGTTCCACATCACAAGAAGTGATGGGTGCAAAATTAAATATCGAACAATCTACGTTTTCATTTATGTATGTATTGTTGGTAGCATTTCCATTACCGCAAATTACGTTATTTACTGAACATAGAAAATCGTATCCTGGATTCTTTTTTAATACAGAACATAATTTTTGGAAAGCCATTTCCCCCACCTTTCCTGGTGTGTTTTTTAAAGATGTATACGCTTTTTCCACAATTTCCATACTTTGGTTTAATTTTAAACCTATAGTTTCTAATTGTTCTATTGCATCAGTAATAATTTTAAAGTGAGTTTTAATTTTCAACGTTCCTTTATTCAGGAATTCTTGAACTTTTTTAATGCTTTGTGCATCTGTGGCTTCAAATGACATTACAACCAAAAAATATTCAATATAAGAATGATAGTAAAAAAACCATTATATATTTACTGACTTGTTTTAAAACATCAAAGTGTTCTGCATAAAACAATGCTGCTTGAATCCAAGTGCCCCACCTGGTTAATACAGGTTCAGGTGGGAGAGGTGTATTTGGTAAACTGTTTTTATAAAACTCTACTCTTATTGGTGCTTTTAAAAAGATTCTCTTAACATTGCTAATTATCCCATTGACATCTGGATAATTCAGTCTAATTGTTTCAGACACTAAATGTAACCCATGTTCCATACATGTTAAGTGTGTTATATTTTTATAAAACACTTTCAAATTGGTACCAGTTTTGATCATGTATGAAGCACTATCTGATATAAACCATTTAACTTTTTTGTGTTCAATTCCTTTTGGCCACAATAACGCTTCAAATTAACAATTAAATAATTTATAATAATTTCAATGCTTAAAATTATCAATAGCACACCCAATGATTCGTTTAGAAATCTCGAGATTGTGTTGCTATTAGTTTTATCAAGCTGCTTCAAAGCTAGTAAAAATGGACAGCCAGCTTCTTCAAAAGATAACTTTCCAATTACTAAATGGGCTATGTATCTTCCTAATCTGCCCGTCGTCTCATCGACGCTAATCCATGTATTATTATTGCCAATAGAATTTCTAATTTGTTTAATTACCTGTAAATTATAAAATTTATGTTAAAAAGTTTTTAAATAAAAATTCTAGTGCTTACCATATCGTAATCTTTTGGTAAATATTTTTTTCTCAGAGTGCTTTCTGATGGTAAATGCCTTCCTGTATATTTATGCATAAGATTTTTAAACTTAGGACAACTAACTTTATTCCATGGAATATTTGCTGCGGTAAATGCCCTACAAATTGGTGCAAAATTGCGTAAAATCATTGTCGGAACTAATGTTTAATAAAGTCTGTTTACTGGATTTATTCTCGTTCTTTTTATGTGCATCGCCACTGCAGTGTTGTTCAAAGTGTGATTTTTTTTCGCACTTAAACTAGGAAACAAAAATGTGAACATAATTCAAGCTTCAGTATTTTAAATGTTTACTTACAACTTTTTCACACACTTTACAGAATAATTCATTGTCTTTCGTTGAAGAAGGAAATTGAAAATTAGTGTCCAAATTATTCCCTAACCATAATTTGATTTTATCTTTCATGGATGATTTTACCTTAGGCATTTTGAGGATTCTTTACTGTATGCACAAAAATCAAAATCGGCCCCAGCACACTCACTAACACGCAAAGACACTCAGTATCACTAACAATAAACTTCTAAAATAAAATGCTTTTTCAGAGGTTCACCTCCTTCCGGCTATAATCTAAATGAAACGATCTGCCAGCCAAAGCAATGAATTCACGGAAAATCTGTTTGAAAATTTTTAATTAACTGCACAGATTCAATTAAGAGCTTGTATTCTGTTTTTAGTTTTGTGATCGTCGCCGAATTAAATTGATAATTCGTTTTAATGAATGCTAAGTTTTGTTTGTCGTTTTTCAGTAGAATTTCGGTTTAATAGGATTTTTCCCATACAAATGCTTATGTAAGGGTACCAACTTTTTTCAACGACTATTTAACTAATAAAAGATCTATCAAAATCTGAAAAAAAGTTGGAGTTTTCATTCAAAAAAACTTGTTGGTGACGTCAGTGTGCGAAAAAACGGCTGCTTACAAAAATTTGTACGTTTAAAATTATCATTTTAAAAAATAAAATTAAGCTGTCCGAGGATCTTTCAAGAAAGCGTTAATTAACGGAATTATGAATACTTTTGATCTCATAACACGGTTTAACCCACTCTATCTAAAAATGCAAAACATAATACTAACACTACCTGTGGCAAAGCAGCAATTACATAATTTCTGTAATACGGCAAATTGGTTATCGGATTCCCATGGAACGTCACCGTCTTCAACAACTTCAAATTTTTCAGCTTCAACACCTGGTCGATATTCTCGATACAATTCCCATGAAAATAAACAATCCTCAAGTCCGCAAATTTCAAAATCGTCTGAAACCAAACAACTACAAAACTCCCCTCACATAGAACCCCCAACAAACGTCGTTTATTTCCGTGATTTGGTTAAACGAAAAATCGATCCACCCCAACTGCTCCGGGAACTCCAAGATCGAGTCGACGAAGTTGTCGAAATTGCGAATATTTTTCAGTTTATTGTTGTTGAGCCATACCGACCGGGTCAGGAACTTTTTATGTGCGGATCCGCGCTCGGGTATCCCGCCGAGCCGCGACGCTCGGGCCTGCTCCGGCCCTGCCGCTGCAGAAAAATGGTGAGACAGGGGCGTACGTGGCCCGTTTGACTTACGTTCGAGAACTTTCAATTTTTTGAAGGAGAAATCGGCGGGTTTGCTTGTCTCGAGCTCCCGCTTTTCATCGACTTGCATCGTGGGGTGGTGACAGGAGGTGACGTTGCTATGGAGACGGCGAACGGTTTTGACTAGAGTTGGCACAGCCAGCTCTGGTGACTATCAGTTATCAGCATTATTTGAAATTCGATTTGTGGACCACGAAATTACCTTTAAGTGAGCAAAATTAAAATTTTGATTTAATTACTGCTTGCTGTAAAAAAAATGAGGTTAGGGTGGTTATGGTTTTCACGTAAATCTACACACGAAAAAACCGTAAACATTTTATTCGTCGTGAGCCAAGGGGGCGGAGCTTAACTGCAAAATCCTTATTTCTATGTATATAAAGAAAAAAATAAAGCCAAAGATCATGCCCCACCCATACCCGCCCCTATCTCAATTCTCAATTGTTATGAATTTTTCATTCGTTGTCAGATCGAGGGGCGGGGCTTAAGTGCAAGATCCATATTTGTCTACAAGAATTTACCATTTTAAACATGTTTTAAGTTTCTTGTTCTGAAAAGACGACTATGTATATTAAGAAAAAAGGCAAAATATAAACCCCGCCCACCCACCCTATCTCAATTGTGATGAATTTAATGGCAAAATCGTTATTATTTCTTTTACAATGTTTTTGAGTTTCGTGTTATTCAAAGAATTACATTAAGAAAAAATTGAAGTCAAAGATTAAGCTCCACCCATACCTACCCTGATCTAAATACCTAGTAATGAAGTTTTCATTCGTTGGCAGACCTAGGGGTGGAGCCTAATCGCAAAATCCATGTTTCCTTACAAAAAGTTACCATTTTAAACGTGTTTTAAGTTTCTAAAAAATAAAAAAATCATCACAATGGAGATGGGGTGGGTGGGCGGGGTTTATATTTTGGCTTTTTTTCTTAACATACATAGTATTCTTTGAACAACCCGATACTTAAAACATGTTTTTAATTTCTTGTAAAGAAATAAGTATTTTGCAGTTAAGCTCCGCCCCCGTTGGCTCACGGCGAATAAAAAAAATCAACACAAGTGAGATTAGGGCGGGTGGGCGGGCTTACATTTTGCCTTTTTCTTTTAACTTTAGACTTTTTTCCACAACATGAAACTTAAAATATGTTTAAAATGGAAAATTTGTATAAGAAAATATCGATTTTGCAATTAGGCTCCGCCCCATAATTGCAAAATCCATATTTCCTTGCAAAAAACTACCATTTTAACCATGTTTTAAGTTTCTTGTTGTGAACAAATGGCTATTGTATATTAAGAAAAAAAAGGCAAAATATATCATCCATTATATCTCAATTCTGATCATTTTTTTTATTCGTCGTAAGCCGAGGGGCGGAGCTTAATTGCAAAATCCTTATTTCTCTACAAGGAATAAAAAACATGTTTTTGAGCATCGTGTTGCTCAAAGAATACTATGTATATTAAGAAAAAAGAAGCCGAAGATTAAGCCCCACCCATATCCGTCCCAAGTTCAATTGTGATTTCATTCGTTGTCAGACCGAGGGGCGGAGCCTAATTGCAAAATCGATAGTTTCCTACAAAAATTTACCACGTTTTACCTTTCTTGTTTTAAAAAGAAAAACATATTAAGAAAAAATGACAAAATATAAGCCCTTGTAGTGATAATAATACCTAATCTGTTTTTGAAACGAATAGCAATAAATCTTGTTGATTTAAACATTGTGGTGACCGAATTTGAATCAAAAGTTCGTGATAAAAAAATTTAACAGTGGTGTGAAATCACATTTGAATAATTTGAATTTGAAAAAAAAATTCAATAAAAAAATCGTTGAACACAGGCAACCATGTGCACGTTGGCGCTTTTTGTGTAGTTGGTAGTCCTGCTGCGGATTTTAGTTAGATGGTTGCTTGGTAGAGAGAGAGATGAAAGCGTCACTTTTGGTATTTGTTGTGAGTGTAACCACGTGGTGAGTTAGCTTGATTAGTTAGTTGGTTTGGTAGTTAATAAGAAGGAGAAAGCCTTTGGTTAACGAAAATTAAACGTAATGACGACAACGCCACAGTTTCTACAACACGCGCAGCTAATTCTTGCGTCTTTCGAAGTGGGAAAAATGAGATTTTTTTACCGACACTAACACGTGTACATTTGATTCAATTTCTGTAAATTCACAGTTCAGGTTAGGATTTTAATCGTTAACTGGTACTAACACAATTTAACAGACATTAGATTTATTTAGATATATACTCACTAGAAGACTTCGTGAAATTCACTTAGTTAGGATACAGTCTTTTGTTTAACAAAGTTACGAATAAATATTTAACCGTAGATTTTCATGCTTTGCAGTTCTAACCTCACGTAATTTTTATCTGCACAAGTTTATTTCACACCAGATCTTTTGTTTTTATAAATCTTTGCTAGTTTTTGTTTTGTAAATATTTTATTGATGAATGTTTCCATGATATAAATTATCTGATGTCCAATCTAAATCTCGAATACATAAATGAATTATTTGTTGTTTAAAATTTCACAAGATTGTATGGCGAATCTAAATGTTGTTTATTGCTCCTTTTGAAACCTTAACACTTGTTCAGTTGTAGTTGAATATCAGAGTTATAAGAATTGAACATATAAATGGAATTAAGGATAAATAACACAGAAACACGTGGCGGAAACGGAGTGCGCTGTTCCTAGTCTTGCTGGCGGGATTTATCGCGCCATCTGCACAAAGATGCAGATTAGAATAGAATTCAGAGGCGGTCGAGATGACGTAACGTTGTCGACTTGGCCCAATAGTCGAGACCCAACTGCGACTTTGCGACTCTTGGGGTGCAGGGCGACAGTGCTTGCGATAGATAGAATCTCCGTCGTGGGTAGGAGAACAGCCACGACCGGGAGCCCCAAACTTCGCTCGTGCTAGCTATGGGTATTTTTGCTGTGCTCTAGAATGAAACTGACATAGTTCGATCGCCACTCTCTTATAACGCTCTGGTGCCGCTGCCGCTGCAGTTTTTTGTTAAAATTTTGTTCTTTGGTTGACTGTCATAATTTTAAATGTGCCGCCACCCAAGCAGCAGACTGTCGTCTAATTCACGTCAATTTTTGGTCATAACTCGTCGGCGACGTCATTCGCCCAAAAAATCACGTGATAATGACGAGATTTTTATGACTTACTTCTGACGTCAATTAATGACGTCAAAAGGCCGTCTTTTTTTCGTCATTTTTTATAGATTATATGATCAATTAGATGTGGGTGGTCGTATTCTTTAAAAAGTGGCCTTCATAATGCTTAATTATATTTAGAGCAAAAAATACAACGGCTTTATTAGAAATACACCAAACACAAGTTTTTTCATTCTAATAATTTCTAATAAAATAATTAATTTCTGAAAATTTGTTTACTCTGGAAATGTTATTTTGTAAGTACCTGCTTGGCAAATTATAAATAGAACATCCGGGGTTGACCGTATAATAGTGAAAGGACCCTAGGAAATTCTTTGTCTATTGTCCCTACAACGGGACAAGATTTTGAAGAATTCCTTCGTCGAATTTTGATTTTATAAAGACGTTTATAAAGTGATGATGGTTACCAAAAAAATTAGAGAGTGATTTAATATTTAGTTTTATTAAATTTATTTCATCGCATGAAAAAATAATGCTTAACTTCCGTATTTACTATACAATACATCAGATGTTTGAGGCGTGCATTCGGACTTTCCCTTTTTTCGGTATTTATGTTTATTGCACTTCACAGTGACTCATTCCAGTATTTCCAGTTGGGTCTCAACCACCGAAGCTTTCTTGTGTATCCGTTACTCACTTCATTTTTAACACAGTTTTGTGAAAATTTCTGCCATTCAGAGTCGGGTTGTACTTATTTACACTAGGTAAGTTAAAATCTAATAAAGTAATCATTTTAATTTTTACGTGTTTCTGTTATTTTTGATAACTGTATGTAGATAACAAAAGCAGTTTTTTCAGATAAGCTGGAAAGACCACCATTAATCACTGAAGATACTCCCACTAATTATGAAGAACTTACGGTGATTGTTTTTGAAAATGAGGCGCCATAAAATATTGCAAAGGTATGTTACTGCAAATTTTTATGAACTAATGCTAATGAACATAATTTTATTCTAGATTTGAAACAAATACAAAACACATGTGCGAAACGAAAGAAATGCTAAAGGAAACGAGTGAAAAAATCTCTAACATGAAAACGTCATCAAATCTGACAATTGAAAAAGAAAACAAAAATAGAAGTTATGCCGCCAAGACCACACCTAAACAAATTTTGACGAATTACAAGATTATTTTTGCCTATTAGAACAAGCAGATTTCTTTGTAAGTTAAAAAAATACAATGAATTCATATATACATATATAACATATAACATTGGATATTATATACAGGTAGATGCCTGTAACACCACGATACTTTTTGGTAACTTACTATACATGGCACATTTCGCTTCATTGTAAAAAATTATTGACAACGAAATTTTCCTGATAGGGTATGCGTTTTTGTCAATGCAACCATTTTACGATTATCCGTTAAATTCAAGTAAATTTAGCATTTTTAAAACGCAGAATTTGTCTTCTGCTTTAAGCTGTAATCCTTTAAATTTAATAATAGCCAAATGCTTGCTGTTGCCCATAGACGAAAAAATTATTGCATTTCCATTAATCCATGTACTCTAACGGTTTTTTTTTTCAGTGCAATAAATTGAAGCAAACTTAAAAAACTTTGGTTATTAATATGATTGTTAAAACAGAATTAATTCTTAACGGTACTTTTTTGTGTGTTGGGGACAGTCAAGTCGTCGTGAATTAGAAAGTTTTACAGTGCATTTTCAAATCAAGTAAGTATAACAATGCGATTCAATTATCTTTTCCATTTATTCTAGTTTTTTTTTTAATATTTTTTGTAATTAGATTTGTTTGTGTTTTTAAGACTGATTTATAATTTATTATAGTTTTCTTTTAATATTCTTTGTAACTAAATAGATATCTTTGTGTTTTTAAAACTGATTTTTCTTTAAATAGCATATTTTATTGCAACGTTTATTTTTGATTGTATATTATATATTATCCTTTTTTTTTGTTTATACCAATTATACTCGTAATTACCTGTATGTAGATTTGTTTATGTTCTTAGGAGTGGTTTGTTTAATTGACATATATTTTTTTATTTGTTTATTGAAGTTCATTGTTGGTTGTACATACAGAATTGAAGTAAATTTAATTTTTTACACTAATTTGTTTTAACTTTAATTAACATATATTTTGTTTTGGGGTTTACCTGGTGATTATAACGAATTACAATATTTTATTTAAGATAAAAAATATAAAAATATAAAATTATATCAGCGTTTTATTTATTGCATATTTTTTTCTAAAAATCAAAATATAAAAAACGTCTTAAAATGGACAATAAATGCCGTCTCTAAGACGTCAGTGCATCACGTCAATAGTTCGTCACAAAATGACGACTCTTAGACGTCAGTACATCACGTCAATAGTTCGTTAGAAAATGACGTCATCTGGACGAGACATTTGACCGTCATTGGTACGTCAATATCACGTGAAGTCTTTGGTCACTATGACGTAATTGATGACCATTTATTCACGTGAAAAAGACGACATCATGTTGCCTGGGCACACTCCTGTAATAACTTGTGTATTTGCATCCCGTTGCTTTACATCAGATTTTGCTTTGTTTTTAATAAATTTGTTATATTCAAATATTTCCATTAATTCAGAACGTTTAATTTGATTTCATTTGAATTTCATTTAAAGGTTTTTTTGGAGCTGAGCATTAAGGGGTGTCCTCACCAGACACGACTTGGTCGCAGCTTTTTTACTTCCCAAGCGTAAGCAAAGGAAGTATTGTAATCGAGTCCGTCGGCCGACTCTCTACATTTGCATTTTCTCGTCCTATCATGACCCCTAGAGGACGAAGAAATAGGTCTCCCGTTTCCGTCTGTGGGTTTGTCTGTCCGTCCGTCTGCCATCCCGGATTTTTATTAGACAGATAATCTCCGAAAGTACTAGGCCGACTGTTGCCAAATTCTGTATTTATATTAGGTATATCATGTAGATGGTAAAACGCTAACCAAAATGTGTCTAATCATCCCCACCACTAATGTGATGATGTCACTTCAAAATTGTACAAAGTAAATGGGTTTTAAATTGTATCAGATAACACAGTCTTACACATGTAGTTTATGACTCCGAGTTGAGATTTTACCCGAAACGTCCAGATTTTTGGAAAAAAAATCTAAATTAGGAAACAACATTTTGACATTTAATTTGGAATCTGCAAAACCGAATGCATTGAAATCTTGTAGATGGTTAACAGTTATGATAAGCATGATAAGTTTTTATTCAAAATATATTTACTTGTCCCCTCCAAAAAATTGATGACGTCACCTGAAAAGTTTGCTGAATAAATCCTATCTAAAATGTAGAAAATATGATGAGTCTGTACTTGTAATTTATCATTCCATTCATATTTTTTCGATTTATATATACAGGGTGAGTCAAAAAATTAATGAATGCGTGAATATATTTTATTTATTTAATCAGGAAATACAAAACCGAATGTTTTGAAATCTTGGAGATGTTTTAAAGTTATCATGGGCATTTAAATTTTTGATCAAAATATATTTGCTCTAAAAAATTGATCACGCCACTCCAAATTTTTTCCGAAAAAATGCTATCTTAAATGTGCATTGTGCAAAGTATGATGAGTCTATAACTGTGATTTATCATTGCAAAATATTTTTTAGATTTGCTTATACGGGGTGTGTGAAAAAAATTAATGACTGAGTCAATTTATTTTATTGATTAAATCAAGAATTGCAAAACTGAATACTTTGAAATCTTGACGTTTTGAAGTTATTGTAAGCATGGTAACTTTTTAATGAAAATGTATCTGTTTATCAACCCCAAAAAAAATGATTACGGCATCTCAAAATTTTGCGGAATAAATTCTTTCGCAAATGTGCAAAATATGAACAGACTTTTAATCATTGGATACATATTTTTTAGATTTGCTTAAACAGGTGACTCAAAAAAATTAATGAACTAGTCAATTTATTATTGATCAAATTAAGAACGAGCCACCCCATTTTCTGGAAAATGTGAGAATACGCTCGTCTTTATAACAATAAATTAAGAATTATAATAACATTCAGAATATTTTCTTCAATGGAGGCTTATGAATAATTTTAGTCATGTTTTGGGACGATAAACTCATTCAAATCAAACAAATGTCTAAATGTCTACGTGACATTCTTCCGATGTAATGTATTCCCGTTGATAAAGTTGTGCAACATCAACGTCATCGACAAGTTTATAAATCGACCTTTAATTGTCAAAAATATATTGTTGCGGGTGTGTTTACCATGTTGTGACCAGGACCTATCAATATAAAATATGTTACTAAATTTAGAAATCTTGTGTTCACACTGTTTAATAAAGATAACATATGAAATAAAATCTTCACTTCTTATTCATAAACAGAAATATACACAATTATAAAATAACATTTCAAAAGTCTTCCAAAAAAGAATCCATATCCAGGCCCTCCATCGCGTTTTGCCACGCCTCCACCTCCTCTTGACTCCCCCTAATATTTAATTGGCTACAACTAGGCGCATTTTCTTTCTCCTGAATGCGCCCCCTCCCCCCTATCGGTACTTTCACTTGTTTTAATTCCGCCATCAGATCTCCACATGTAATTTCCTGCACACTAATAATCACCATCTCGTCGTTATTTTTACTATAAATAGTCACTAAATTCTTTGGTGTGATTGTCAAGTAGTGATTGTTGCTATAACTAGTCGTAAGCACCCCACACTGTCTTAGAACAATCACAGAACCTGCCACTAAATTACTCGAGTATTCCTCATACAAACTATGAATAATGGTCCCTTGAATTTCACCACTGGCGTCCCGCAGCACAACTTTCACGATCAAGTTCTTGCCCTCAAAACACTCAACGCTTTTAATAATAGCCGCCAGAAACGGGGCCTTTTGATTGTGTAATTTGTTCAAAGTTGCGTTGGTTTTTATCCACTTGATGTCGTATTGATCGACTAGGGGTTCATAGTCGCGGCTTGCGTCAACCCAGGGGCTGCTTTGGAAAACCGACAGAGACATCTGAGAGCATGGAATCTCCTACAATTAAGACTAAAATATTGATAACACACCCGCAAAATACCGACTAGTTCTGGATTTTTGAGGTCCGAGTTTTGTATAACCGATGAAGCGACGTCTTTCCTATCGGGTAATAGTCCAGCAGGACCTGGGAATTTTCTCTTAACTACGTTCTTCGGAAGGGTGACGATTTTGAGTTTTTTTGGCGTTTCCACGCTTGGTGCTTCCAGCGGTCGCTTATTTTTGACATTTTTTTGTATCCGTTCGAAATCAAGCGTAAATTCCTACACAAATAAACAAAAAGTTGACCTAACCTAAGTTTCGTTATTGATACTTACATCACCAAAATCGACGTCGGTGTTGCTTTCGAACATTTCTAGCACTTACATTTCACGCAAATACCTAAAATAGCTTTTTTGTATTTTATTAAAGTTAATAAAAATTACCAATTTGAAAAAGTAGTGCAGGTTGCTGCTTTACCGACTGACGGCGGCAACATGGCGCCGCTGTCAAATTTCCGCGCTAAATTCAACTCGACATGGAACCTCCACCACGTACGACTTTTCGCGAAAAACTACGCACTATCGACAGATCAGATTTACTAAACTGCCTCAAGGTAGCCTGTTTGAAGCACTGTTTGTGCTGCATCCCACTCAAAATCGGTGTCGCGTTTTTATTCGTTCTACAAATGGCCAGTTTGACACCCTTCACAGTCTACCAACGAAGTAAGCTTTCTCTAGAGTTTGCGATAATTTTCATGATACTTCTTTCACTCGCTGCGATCTGTTACATGTGGTCGGCCGTATACGAGAAGCCGAATTTCCTCCCCCTGACTCTTTACTTATCCATTGGAAGTCTGATCTTCCACTTTGCCGTGCTGGACGTGCACTACGCGGAACACCAGGGTACGAAGAAAGAAAAATTGGTCGATCGGACGTTCTTTCTCATCAGTATCGCCGGAGTTCTGAACTACTTTTATTTAATTTGGATGTTGCACAACACATATTATAAGATGAAGTTAGATTTGCAAAAATCCAAGACACAGATTTATGAAATATAATTCAAAGTAAACTAAAAGTGTCTGTTTTCACACATCAATGGTTTTCACCACGGCCGCACTTTGCCTTGTGTTGCGTGTGTTAAAATCCAGGTGTTTTTGGGGTCTTTGATCATCGACATTTGTTTGTGACGGGGGTGGGTTTCGCATATGACGTACAGGCGTTCCTGTCTTCGGACGAAGTAGCAGTCTTTACATCTGCGGCGTAGTTTACCTCGGACCTTGAAACCGCACGAAGGGGTGACGTTGAACGTCGTGGGGGCTAAAAATGTGGTTTGGAGGGGGTTGGACATTATGTGGTAGTTTGAGGTTAGGGGGGCTAATGGGTATCTTCGTAATAGGTTGATGACGTTCCTAATGATGGGGAACATTGTAACCTGAAACGATAATGTGATATTTGGTTGTGTTGGCTAGAATACTAAATTACTTATTGGTTTTGTGTTTTGGTGGTTTTGAGGTTATGTTTGCTGGTTATAAATTGGGAACTTTTTAGTTTTGATATTTCTTGTTGGTTAACCTGCGATTTTTCAAGTTGGTGTCTCCACAGCATATCATTCAGTAAAGACAGCTCGTCAAATATTGGAACAACGTGTCCTTACCCAACCGTTTTGATTAGGCGGGATTTTTGAAACGAAGTTGAATATTGGTTGCCTAAATTACAAATACAGCTCGTCCGTAAAACAATGTAAAAGGAACTGATATAAACATCGAATGAACTGAAACCAATTTTTGGAGTGTGGTATGAAGACTACGAAAAAAATACCACTTTGAACAATAAAAAAGAATTGTGCTTATATTTATTTTATTCATTAATAAAAGTCTATCACTTTACCAAGTTAATTTCAACATAAACATATCAACTACCTATTTTGTCAATGCCTTCAATTTTCGCCAAGTGTGAACCGTTTGAAGAGTCAGAAAGTGAACGCTGTTGTTTTCATCTTCCCTGGGAAAAGTACTTTGATGTTTTTGGTTGAATTTTTGTTGTTAGTTAAATTAGTGAAGTAATTCTGAGAACTTTTTCATAGTAACATGGACTATAGTGGTAGACCACCTCGTGATTCCAGGCACAATAAAAAAACCTGCTTCAGAGGCTTCTTTAAATTTCCCTCGGAATCTGTAAGATAAGAAATATAAAGAAGTATATTATTCTATAATCAATACAAAAATTATTTGGTATGCAATTTTTACAGCACAGTGAAAATTCCAATAGTTGTAATGATTTAGGATCTATTTTACTAGCAACTGAATCTAAAGAAAGTAACCAGTGTCAAATTATTAATAGAGTTTTAAGTTGAACAACTTTTGCACATAAATCTGTGGAAGTAAATATGACAGACTACAGACATCTGGACATGGAGGAACAAAATTCTTTAAGTTATGTCTGTGGATACTTACTGAAGAAATGCTTGATGAAATATACCTGTGAAACATGTAGTTATTTTGCCGTTGCACGTAATGTCATCATATATGATAAACTTCTCTGTCACTTCAATGTCTTTGATGATGATCCACCATTTTGGCAATCCTAAAGCTGGCCATTCACACTCCAACGTCCCATTGGATGCAACTGTTGTACAATTCTGTTAAAAAGCAGCAGTACACACACACGTTACGACCTTGCAGTTAAAAATTTGCGATCGTGATGACAACATGTCCGACAATATGACGAAAATGTACTTTTATAGCTGCTCTCACGATTTGAATAACATACACTGTCGAGCCATGTCCACACATCATCAAATTTCCATGCAATACAACACGATTGTACTGCTGCAGACAGACTTGTTCACCGACCGTCCACATCCAACCGATTTGCATACACAGACGTTCAAAAACACTTCAATTTGGTCATATCAAACACAATTGTTCTGCGGCGTTGAAACGTGAGTGGCGCGCTTAAGATGCTACATGAAGCATTCACCTTTTATGTTGCAGCCCTAGAAAAACGATTTGTTTCACTATTTTCTACCAACTCAATTTTACCTTCATGTGGCCGATATATAAAAGCTGCCCTCGTAACTGTGTCCATACCAGCATACCGCACCCCTGTGCCCTGTGTACAGTTTCCACAATATTATTTATTTTATTTATTTGTTCGAACGCGCATTTTCTATTCAGTAAAAATAATAAATCACCGTTACAATATTAAATACCAAACATCTAAAATGTCAAATTTGACGCACAATGTTGACATGGTGGTAAATTTATTTAGTAACAAGGTTTGCCACTACAGTTTCTAGCCAAAATTCAAGGTCATGTCCTTACCCAACGGTCGATTATTGTTGTTCTAGTCCGTTACGTGTATTTCTTATGGGCCTTTCAAAAGCTGTCCTTACTGAATGATATGCTGTGGTGTCTCGGTGACTTCATTATATTGTAAAGAAATTAGCCAATAACACGTGACGTCACGCTGTGGCGGGAACTCAGCGTTTGACAAGCGCCGTGAAACTCCATAAGTGACAATGTTAACATTTTCGTATTTTATTTAAAAGTGTGGGTATTTAGCTAGAAAATAAACACGTGAATAGCTTCTTTCATATCTTTTCTGTGTATCAGGGTGCTTTTTTTTGGCAATTTGAGTTTAAAAATACATAATAAAAATAAAAATACAGGACGCTGTTTTGGTCTGAATTCCTCGTCACCCAAAATACATCCGTGTGTTTTAAGCGGTAAATCGGAAATTAATATTTTCGTTTGAGGTTAATGTGACGGGTTTAATTGAAAGTGTGTGATTTGTTTTTAAAGTATGGATAATTTAAGTGATTATGCGCAGTGTCTTTCCCTCAAAGAGAAAAACAGATATGTACAAAAGTTAAACAATTTAAACGGCGTAGATCCTTATACATATAATGAGTGCAAGTGATTTTAATTTGTGTTTAGACGATATCCCTACCATAACAATGAATACCATTCTAAACTTTTTTATTTTTGGAATACCTAAGTAAAATAACCCACAATGAAATTCGTGCATTCAAAAGTCTAGAAGCATTTATTCAGTTTTCTCTTTTTTAAACGACTGTGTCTTTCAACATTACAAGTATTATGAGTGGATTTATTTTGATATCCTAAATTTTGTATATATTTACCTTTATTGTTGCTAATTGCTGGGAAAGGAAAATAAAATTTGTCCGCATTTCTGGTGCTTCGATTCGCGCAATCCACAACAGCACAAAATTTAGGCATTTTCTCCTAAAATACAAAATATTATACCTAATATTAAGATGCTAGTGTATTTAAAAAACATTGATGTACATTAACACAGAATTAATTTGCAAAACAAATAATATAAGATGTAGCGAAGTTAACCTTACATCACATTGGAAAACATTATTTTTTAAGGATATTCAAACGTTATGGTGCGTTTTACAGATATCTACACAGTCTAGAAACTGTAACAAACTTACCAAACTACAAAAACACAGTTGACACACTCTCAAATTTAAATGAATTCCGAAAATATTAGCATTGACTCTTATGAGAAAACCGGCTAGTTGTCAAACGCTGTCATTTTGATGACCTCGGATGACGTCAGTGTATTTGGCTAATTTAATTTCTTATTAGAAACAAATAAAACAAAAAGGATTTGAATTTCAGTGTTTTAATCTAAATAAATTTAATTTACATTACAATAAACTGTAGTTTTAATTAGTCCACCTGACGGAATTAGGTAGTGTTGTTAAATAGTAGGCTGTTTTCAAAAATAGCCTCAATAGCTGGATATTTTCCGGCTATCTATTCACTAACAACACTAGTTAGAATTAGGCTTAGATCATATGATCTATATTCTATGCCACGGTTAGTTGACAGATAATTATACATAGCTAATAATAATGAAATGACTTTGTATCTGTACAGATATTTTTTTAGTGTTGTTAGTGAATAGATAATTGGAAAATATCGGGGTAAATATCCAAAGCTATTTATTAAAATAGCTATGAAGCTTTTTATTTTAAATTTGGCGCCAATCGAGTTGGAATATAGCGAATGGAGTATGATTTTTTTTAAGTCAGGTCTCATTTAAAACAGATTAATAACCACATTACTTAACAGAAAAATTAAGTAATGTGGTTCAGAAACAGAATAAATAGTTTGGAAGCACAGAGTAATAATGAGGATTGTGAATTAGAACGTTCTTTACAGTAATGTTGCAATAATTTTAATTCTTAAGAATTCTATTTTTGTTTAAGTTCTTTCACAGATTGTCAATCTTGGATAAACTGCGGCTAAAAATCCAGATTTTTATTGTAACCAACTATTAAATCCATTTTTGAAAATAGCCACCTATTTAACAACACTAATTTTTTATAATAAAAAAAATAAAACAATCTGTTTTAACCTTTTAACTCATGTTAACTCAGATCCCAAAAATTCACCATAATATGACCTTGTGAACTTAAACAGAAATGGACGCTTGATGTTCTTTTGTTTTGCGACGATTGAAGACATATGGTTGCAATAAATCTATGACTCTTATGACGTAAAACTTCTAGAGGTGTCATAGAAAATTGGCCTAAGATTATTCCAAACTTCCCTCGCACCTGAAGTACAGTCGAACAAATTCAATTTTTTTAATATTAGTCTTTTTTAACATGATCTTTATCACTTAAAATATGAAGATATACGTGGAATATTTAAAGAACTATCTATGCTATGGCTATATTTCAAGTGAGTTTTACAATTTCAAAATTTTGTGATGACGTCATCAACAGTACCGTGAAAAATTGAGAATACTCTCAAATTTTTGAAAAAAATCGGGTGAATCGTTGTTGATTTTTATGAGTCCCGCAGCTTGGTACAGTTTCGGCCAGAAAATCTTGAGCAGTATTTTTCTGTCATTTAAAAAAAAACACGTGGTACTCTATGATGATTTATTGTCATAATGATTGACAGTTTTAAAAAATAAATTTTGACATAAGTCATCATCCACATTCCAGTCTACGTCAAAATGACAAATATGGCAAATTTAAGGTTATAAGTATGTAAAGCCTGTTTTAGAGCTTATGTCACCGGAATTACGGAACTGCCCAAGATTTTGTGGCCGAAACTGTATTATGTGTCCAAAGAAGACCTCTACTATTACGAGAAATTAAACAATACAATCTATAATAATAAATAATCAAGGTGGATTCATAAACCAGAAACACAGGGGTATGTTAATTTATAAAATTTAAATAGCCTTTATTATAGAAAATTTTGCGATGGCGTCATCAAATTATTGATGTGGATTGTGGACAGACGACAGACAGAAGACTGATGGACGGAAACGAAGGACTTATTTTTCGTATTCTTGGAGTTATGAAATATCGAGAAAACATCAAAGTAGCCATTCGTGCAATGGACTCAAGTAAAGTAAAAAGTATAGAAAATTACTCATTTTTACAGTTTTTAATGAAAAATTATGATGGATATCAGTAACATGTAACATATCATTAAACGTAGTTTTTAACGCATATCGTTATATCTACCATCACAAGCGAACTATTATCTCACAGAACAATGTGAGACACTTAGTGAGTACACGACTCTTTCTTTTATTGCTTATACTTAAGTCAGTTTGTTTTATTTTATCTGTAAAACATTTCTGTACAAATAATAATTCCGTTGTTATTAATGTTGCTAATTTTATAATAATAATAACGCTAGACTTTTGGGGATGGGGTGAGATTAGAGAATAATAGCAGACTAATTTGTATGCTGTAATTCTAGAATCTCGAAAGTTGTTTTGTTAATCTAATCAATGCATATCATTACTTGGTCTTAGTACCCGTAATGATAGAAGTCTTGCCTGAATGCCGGTCATTTCCGGATCAGTGGTGGGTCTTAATAATGATAGATATTTATTTATGATTTATAACTAACAAAGTAAGTACCTAATCGTATTTTGTGTTAGTTGTTTTATGTCAAAATTGTGTATGTCCTAATCACAGTCCTAATATTCATAGACTACCTACAGTACCTACATTTTGTTTTAATTAAATTTTGCATTTAACGTTATTTAAAAAAAATTGTCTCATTTTAGACAGAACTTCCTTTGCGTTTGAAGTACAATCAACACATCCATTTTTCAAAGAAAAAAAACACCAGTAAAAGTGTAAGAAAAAAAGTGGCTCGTGATAGGATCCAACCAGTAACCTTCGCGTTGCGTTGCTATAAAACGTTATAATTTAGTTTTGAATTTTTTGCGAAAATATGGATTCCAATGGTGAAAATTCAAGGCGGATTCATAAACTCGGAGTATATACTATCACTTTCACTAGAATTCTGCAATAAAAGTCCCCTCTCACTCAAAGTAAATCTCTACGCATAATTAATTCACTGCGCTAGGTCAGTATTTATAATTGACCCAAGGAACTACGAATGAGAATGATTGTCTTGTTGTTGAATTTTTTGTTCCTGTCATGGTATAAGATATACCAACTAATATTTAATTGGGCTTATATAAACCGGGCATTAGATTTTTAAATCACTCGCAGAAATACCGGGTGATGAAAAAATGACATATATGCTTGATGGTACGTAGTTAAGAAGGCTTTGCAGAACTGGAAAAACAGTGTTAAAAATGTCCCTGCACCAAACTTTTAAAAATATAGTACGTCAAAGCTGAAGAATTAACTTCGTAATTCTGATGTGTTTTAATAAACTGCATTGTCCAATTGACAGTTTAGCAATTAGTTATTAATAATTTAATACTAATACGGTAAAATACGATTCACAACGCCATTTTTGACTATTTGGCAGATGCCATTTTTGACTATTTTTATGGGAGTTTTATATTTTCAATTAAATTCAAATGAAAACATTAAAATTATGAAATTAATTCTTTAATTTGGTAGTTTAATATTTTCAAAAATTTGGTATAGAGATTTCTTTAACCATTTTTTCCGAGTTCCATTTTTTCGAGTTCTGCAGAACATTCTTAAGAATGTACCATCGAGCAAATAGTGAAAAATTTCGCAAAACCAAACTTTAAAAATTATTAATTTACCTAGTGATCGTTATTTTATCAAAGAACCATTCACTAAGTATTGAAACAGGATGTATAAATTAGCAAAAAAAAAGAAGACAAATAAACGCAGAACTAAATTTAATTTAACGAAATAACAAAAACACAGCGACAATTTGAGAGACGTCTGTAAGAGTTAACGGCATTGTTTTCACGTGAAAACGTTTATTAATTGCCAAACTTGTAATTAGAGCTGTGCGGTCGAAATTTATTTACCCCCACTATCGGCCCACAGTGCCGATCGCTACAGCCTTGCCTTGCTCGCTTCTCGCTTTTCAGTTGTGGATTATTTTTGATAATTCACACAAATAGTTTTATTGTCAACGAGACGGACACCTGAACATT